TATATATATATATATATATATATATATATATATATATATCTGTGCCTATATGTATCTTTGATGTAAATACATCTTTAATTTTTAAATTTATGATTTTAAATGTTTTGTTATATTAGTAGTTTAAATAGTTTTAAAATAAAGATATTTTTTGTTATTATTATCTCTCTTTTTTTTCAATTATATTAAATTTTCTCCACAAGGAATACATACTTTTTCTTTATTTTTTCAACTTTTAAAATTATATTCTATTAATTCTTATAAAGTATATGATTTTTTCAACTTTTCTGGCATTTGAAGTAATAGAATATGATTTGACTGGATTTCTATATTTGTAGCACATTTTACTATAAAATTTCCTCCGTGTAGTGATGTATATATATTGTAATGTGAACTCGCAGGCTGTGTTCCAATATTTACTACCAATACTGGAACTCTATACGTGTACGTGACACAAACTATAGATCTTGAATACTGATAGTGAATATCGGGACGCAGTCGTAAACATCATTGAACTTTATTAAGTTTATCAATGAAATTGTTTTATTTACGCGTTTACACTAAACGAAAAGATATGATTGATTGAATATTTATTGCGCACGTAATATATGTTTATTTTGATTGGTGCAGTCTGTACGGAAATCTTTATAATATTTCATCTACGAAAATATTTTTCTTCTCATCAATTAATTTCAAATTCAGATTACACATTTGCAATGCGGATTGTGGACATCACAAGCGCAAATTGATATAAAACTATAAGGAAATGTACGTGAAATTATAAATGTAGCTTAATATGTACATCTAATGGTCGATCATGAATCTTTTTCTGTAGTCTTGCGTAAATTCGTGAATCAATGACAATCATTATAAATACATGCTGCTTATTGCAGCCTACATATATATTATAAACGCAATCTGACGGACGTGCATCGTTTGTGTGCGTGCGTATACGTGTGATCTGAAGCTGAATCGCTTGGCGATGCAAATGCGGCTTGATGGACAAACTCATTCGTTTGTGTGCGTGCGTACGTGTGTCTGAAAAAATCTGAGAAGCTGCGCGAAAATAAAAAGGACTTTTCGCGGGCAAGATTTCGAGATCTCCGTATTGCCTGCATCAATCTTAATCAAACTTGGTGTAAATTACGCGCGCACTAAACATTATATAAGAAAACTTTCATCAGATTTTCGATTATAGTTTGCGTGCTTGAGATATTTGACTCGGAAGACCAATCGATCTAGAAATTCCAGATAAGCTTACATGGTCGCGTTATTTTGTTTCATACGTACTCGGCGTCGCACTGCGACCATGACGCTTAATCAGATATTTTGAATAAGAAACAAAATTTTTTTATCAATTATGTCTTATGCCAGTGTCTTATGTCAATTTGTTGTTTTCTATATCTATAGTTGGGGCACATCATCCCTAATAGCATATATTGGTTTCACATACGTTTTTTAAATGTATATACCATTTAATAACTGTTTGTAAAATGTTTTCCACACGTTTCTAAATGGTATATACTAACCGAGACGTATTCACGTGATATACCGGAATTTATCATATTTTATTAATATTAATAATTGAACGCTAAAATATCGAAGTATCAAATTGAGAAAAACTTAACATCGAGGATCAAAAACTCGGCGTGCCCTAATGAATATATTGAAATACACACACACAATTTATATACAATACGATTTGAAATAAGAAGAGTAGCATACAGAAGAAACGTTAATTCACTTATGTAAAAAAAATATAAGTTTTAGTTTATATATCGACAAACACACATATAGGAGTTATTATATTCACACATAGAGAAAATTAAATTTTATGTATGGAGAAACATAATCTTGAATTAACAAACGATTAACATTGATTTTACCAACAACAAGCAACATTATCACTAATGTTAATTTAATTTATGATAACAAATATATTTATATAGAAAAGTCATTCCTATATACAGTTTGATGAATTCCTTGAATTCATCAAACATCAACATAGATTTCTCCATAGTGAATATATTTTCAATAATGTACATAATTACATAATGTATAATGGCACATAAAATATTACTACATTATAAACATTTATATTGAATAATAATGTATTCATCATCTTTATTCTTATTCTCGGCAAGGCACATCGAGTTTTTGATCCTCGATGTTAAGTTTTTCTCAATTTGATACTTCGATATTTCAGCGTTCAATTATTAATATTAATAAAATATGATGAATTATAGTATATCACGTATATCATGAAAACGTCTCGGTGTTAGTATATACTTAGAAACATTAGTTAGTATACATTTAGAAACGTGTGGGAAACATTTTACAAACGGTTATGAAATGGTATATACATTTAGAAAACGTATGTGAAACCAATATATGCTACTAGGGATGATGTGCCCCAACTATAAATATAGAAAACAATAAATTGACATAAGACACTGGCATAAGACATAATTGATGAAAAACATTTTTTTTCTTATTCAAAATATCTGATCATTATTACATCACACAGTATATTTATCACACAATTACTTGTGTAATAAATACTTACACATATACGTACTTAAATAATTATATTGATCTCACTTCTTTTTTTAATTAAATTAATTTAAAACATCTGCACTTTGTTTAAGTTAACATATACTTTGCGTTTTGTAGTTTTTGTTTTGATAATTTTTGTTTTGGTCTTTTTTGTTTAGTATTTTTTGCATTGGTATTTTTTATTTGGTTCTTTTCTTTATACGTAATCGGCGTCTTTTTTTTTTTTTTATTATATATATACACACATATAAATTGCGGAAACAACTTGATTCCACCCTGCCATCTGTTATAATTAACCTACCCGCGCAGGATAAGCCACGCTCCGGTCTTGATCAGCTATTGTGGTGACTGCTAATCGTCCCTGCTCATCATCTGCTTTATTATTAAGGCTAATTTCCAAGGTGTAGCACTAAGTGTAGCACTAAGTGTGTCGTACGCCCGCGGGTACGATTTCCAGCGTAGCCATACGCAAATTGCCCTTATCCATCTATTCTTATTCATCAGTCTGAATCAGCAGGTAGCCCCAACCCTTACTCCCTTCGGCTTCTGCCCTTCTCGTCCTCGTTCTCCTGCTCGAGGAAAGGCACCCAGGCTGCGGAAGCCTTCGCAATCGGCGAGTTCTCTGATCCGCTATGACGGTCGTTACGTCATTTCCGGCAGCAGTCGCCCTTTCCGCCAGTTCGTCCGTGCTACCGGCCTGGTGGTCGTACGTACCTTCCTCCCCGGTCCCCGTACGTCCTTCCCCTCAATCTCGCGGCACCCAGATAGACTCGGACATGTATACCCAGGAGTGTTCCATGTCGTGGTCGTCCCTGACGATGTATAGACCGGCGCGACGACGGCGGTAGGCCCGGCTGCGCGGACGACCAATCGCGCCGTACGACTAGTGGGGGTGCCGGTCTCGTCGCGACATTGTGGGAGGGGAGGGTTCTCCGCTGTGGAGCAGCGACGCAGGGGGCCGCAGCACCGCGAGTTCTCCGTCAGAGAGCCGGCAGCCCGCAACGCGAGTGTTGCTGCCGAGCTTTGATAATCGAGAAGCCGCAAGCACTGTGAGAATCGTTGCCGTCACCGTCGCCCTCGTCGCCGTTGTCGTCATCGTCATCATCGTCATCATCATCAACGTCATCACTGTCACCACCGCCGTCGTCGTCGTCGCCGTCGAGCGACAGCTCAAGGAAGAGAGCCGGACGTGGAGGAGAGGAGGATTTCGTGTCGTGCTCGTCAGTATCGAGACGGAGAGACTTCCGCATCGGACAACATCCCGCACATCGTCGGAGGCATCCGTCGATCCCTCTACGCCGGTCTCCACGTAGCTCTCTGTCCTTCGTCTCTCTCTCTCACTCTTTCTGTCTCTCTCGCCCGTCCGCCCGCCACCCCCGTCTGCGGATAGCCGGCATCGTAGCACCGTCATACTTGCTCCGGTACATATACAGACACGTATACACGTACACGTAGGCATACGTCACTGTAACCTCCACGAGCTGTCATTCCGCCGCTCCGTTTCCCTCCGCTGACCTGACCCGACCGACCTGACACTGTCTCTTCTTCCCCATTCCTATCTATCATTCATTACTCTCGCCCTCTCGCTCTTTCTCTCCCTATCTCCCTCTTCTGTTCTCTTATTACGATCTATTCTACTCTGCTCTCATCAAGTCTCAACCGCTCCGATCTCTCCGTCTCGCACAGCACCCGCGGCAGACCGCGAACGCAACGAGAGGTGGGTCCAGCCGGGCCCCACTGCGGGCAGAGAGTAGACGAAGGGACTGGTAGCTCGGTCAGACCGGCAAACGACCAGTGTACGCGCGGCTCCTCTTCTCCCCAAGGGACATCTCGCGCTCTTCAAGGGCGGCATCACCGTTCGCCCTGCACGGCGGCAGCAGGAGTCCTCCGGGATACCCGGGACCTGGTAGCCGGTCGAGACTTCCCGGCGCGAGGAACCTGGAACATTGCTGGAGGGTGTAACGAGTAACCACCAGGTGAGTGCGCACGGAACTTGGTCGAACCAATCGAAATCGCCGCCTGCGTGTCGGCGACCGGGCGTTTAACCAGGTCACCGACGATGACGACGCGGTATACTCAGCCCTGACGAAATCCCCGCTGACGATTCCTCGTCAACGATATGACGTATGGATTTTATCGGCCGTGGCGGTCGGCGCCGCCGCCAACGCCGCCGCCGCCGCCGCCGCCGCCGCCGCCGTCGAGCGACCCACGAGAGGGGGCGACTTGTTACTAAGGGGGTGCACTGCAGTGACGGTACGTGGTGGGGTGGTCTCGCCCCCGAAAGTTTCGCCGGAGTTACCGTCCGTTCTCGTTCGCCGGTCTCTTTCCCATAGTCAGTGCGAAGCTACATTCGACGTGCTCGTTTGGTCATCTCGCAAAAGAAAGGAAAAGAAGGAAAATTGGAAAAAAACATAAGAACAAGAGGGAGAAAGAGATAGTGCTACAGCAGTGTGCGACCACGGCGACGTAGCCGTCATCCCCAGTCGTAGAGGGACAGTTGCGATAGTCAGCCCTTCGCGCAGAGTACGCGTTGCGTTCACACGGCGGCAGCCGCCGTAGGGTGGATCGATCGGCAGTCTCGCTCGAGTGCGAGTCGCGTATTTTCGGCTGCCCAGTCGGCTGTAGTCAGAATTTGGATCAATGATCTAAGACTATACGCGGCGGAGGTGCCCGGCATCGTGCCCGTCCTGCGCATTGCGCCGGCAGGACGGTGTGGTAGCGTCGCTCATTTGCTCGTTCGAAGGGCTCGTGGCAAATCCTGCGCAAAGCCGGCTCTGCCGACGTGGGTGCGTACATACGGGTAACGGTACGGTGCCGCCACGGCGCCGACTCGTCCGCGAGACGATTCCCCGCTGGATCGTGCCCCGACCACTGGATTCTCCCGGCGATCTGGTGACTGCAAGGCGACCAGACGCCGAGCCGTCATCCGTGGAGCTTTCGCGTCCTAGATTCGTTTTTCTTCCGTGTTTCTTCTCGACCTCGTCGCGTGAAGGGCTTCCGCCAGCGACTGTCTTTCCTGTCGGCCACGGGGAAACGGATTTTCCTCTCGCCGTGGAGTCTCGACTTCCTGATAGGGTTTCCACGAGAAGCTCATCGACGTTCGGCTTAGCCGCGGTAAGGTTAGCAGAGGTATACTAAACGTGCGCGAAAGCTGCCTCGCCGGTGTACCCTTGAGATCTTGGACTTGGCGACCGGCCTTCGACTTCTCTCTCTCTCTTTCTCTCTCTCTCTCCCTCTCTCTCCCCCCTCTCCCTCTCCCTCTCTCTCTCCCCCCTCTCCCTCTCCCTTTATCTGTCTTTCTTTTTTTCTCTCTTGTCCCTTTTTCTTTTTTCTCTCTCTTTCTTTCTCTTTTTCTCTTTCTCTGATGGCATAGAATTCTGCTCGGATCTAACTATAACTGGAGATATTTTTTGCGATTTGGTTACGCTATCATAAATTCTTTCAATAGTATTTTCATAAGATAAAGGATTATAGCTCTTATTCTGAGTTTTCTCTTATCGTGATAAAAGTTCCTTTAAATATGACCAAAAGCCAGTCAGAAGGTTTACATTTAGGTCCGTATTCATAGTCAGATGTTACATTTAAGATCGGTTTAAATTGATATTGAGATTCTTTATGGTCAATGAAATGATCAGTAGTGCATCTGAAGATGAACTTAAGACGATCTTAAATATAAGACCTGATTATAAATACAAGTCTTAGAGACTCTTTTGGCAATAAAAGAGGATTCAAGATAAAACAAAGCCATTAGTATCTTCCAAATAGATGGTAAGTGGAACATAGATTTCTTATTGATATTGACTGAGGTTTAGACTTTCAAAGACCAGAAATTGAATAAAGACGGAAAATAGATTTCTCCAGAGATCTGTCAGTCGAAAATAGAAAGGGCGGTGTTTCAATATCGCAAAACGGAATCGATAGACAAATAAAGGAAATATGCGAATTTCCTCAAAAACGTTTGACTAAGAAATTCTCATTGACACGCCGTACCCATAAATTCGCGATAGACGCAACGGGACGTGTCAAAGCGGCCGACGGAGGATTGATCGTATGTCGTAAAGGTCCGCCGGTATGACAGTCGCCGACCGTAAAGCAGACATTAAAGGGTAATATCGCGACGTGCCGTCTTCACGGGGAAAGGATTACGGCTGCGAGCGCGTTCGACCTAAAGAGGAGAGCAGAAGCAGCAGCAGTAGCGCGGCGCTTTGTACCGCCAACCCCTCGCGCTCCGTTCTCGACCTTTGGCCACTTCTATTTCGGCCCCGTCTCCACCTCGTCTCCCCGTCTCGTACGCAATGCAGATGGAGCATCCGCGTACGTCTCCGGAACATGTTTCAGCCGGGAGCATATAGAAAGACGTAAGCAGTACAATTCTTGAACAGTAAGAAAATTCATCCATCACGATCGATCGTTTTGGGGGCGTAAGAAGAATAATTGACTGTGGTTAGTCAGAGAAAAAGAGAGAAAGAGAAAGAAAGAAAGAAAGAAAGAGAGAGAGAGAGAGAAAGAGAGAGAGAGAGAGAGAGAGAGAGTGTGTGTGTGTGTGTTTGTGTGTGTTTGCTTATTGCTAAAGTTTTACTGCTTATGTTTTCCTATTTGCTCCCAGCCTTGCGTCAAGGAAAACGTTCAATAGTCGACACTCATGGCGTTCGCTAGTTTACGGTACTTTTGCTCAACTTTTATCAAATATTTAGATATATGCAGGTTTATTAAGATTTATACTGGCCGACAAAAAATAATTTTTGTCAAATGACTCTAATCAGAATAAGTGTTTCACATACATTTTTATTTACAAAAAATAATTCCGCAAATTGTTCAATCATGTTAGGTTTTAAAGTTAATTTAAATTGTGAGAATATGTTGAGAAATTTACGATTAATGAAATAATAAAAGTAGGTAAATGTTTTGATTTACATATTGATCGTTATTAGCAAAAAATATAAAATTTGTCTACAAATAGTAAGAAAGTTTGTTAAGGATACAATATGTGGAAAAGTAGATATTTTTTCATGTTTGATAAGTTTATTGAGAACGAATGGATTATAAGTTCTGTTATAAGTCTTTGTAATAAAATTCCCTTGAAATTTTACTAAAAATCTGTAAAAAAGTACAATTCTAAAATGATTGATGACACAATCATTTTAGGATAAAAGATATTTTATTAAATTCCAATATAAACAAAAAAGTAAACAAAATTTTTTCAGTAAGTCATATTCAAATTTTGTACGTTCACATAGTTCAGGATGAATAACACTAGATCCACTTCAAACATGATATTAATGTTGTTTTTATTACAATGTGAGAAGCAACTGGTTTAAAATGGTTTAAAATTTCATCATTTTCTACAGGATATTTATCGGCTAAACATATCTTTGCAATTAAAGTGTAAAAAAGAAAATATATATATACACACACATACACATACTAGTGTCCCAGTTCAATTTCATAATCTCTCGTGAGTACAGAGTTTGAGGTAAACACAAAAGTCCCATATCGTTTTGTGATATTCGCAATAATTATCGAGATATCAATGAAAAAAGATTTGTAAATGATGAGGCTCGATATGATATGATAGATAAGCTGAAGTGACAACGTCTGTTGTCGTGTGCTTGTATTAAGTCAAACTGAACAGAAAATCCTCTACCATTTTGCAAATGACCACATAAATTTTTAGTTATTAATTAAAAAAAACTGGTACATTATTGTGCAAAAGTGTACAACAATTTTCTTTATTTATTTACTAATTAAAAATCTATGTGATTACTTGCAAAATGTAGAGGACTTTTTTGCTCAGTTTCTTGCATGATATAGTAGATAAGCTATAATGGCGTCGTGTATTTATATATTAAATAAAACTAAGCAAAATATTTTCTACAATTAATATTTCGATCATTATTGCGATTTGCGCAAAACGGTATTGAACTTTTTTATTTATCTCAATCCATTCTACGTTTTCACAAGAGATTATGAAATCAAGCTGGAACATTCTGTATATATGTCAATGTAACTTATAAAAATAATTAAGATATTAGAACCTTTTTTTATATATATCGAAATTTAATAAAATTAAATTTAATAAATAATTCTTTAATTCTAAATGAATTTGCTTTATCAGTCATTTTAGAGAATTGCATTTTTTCACACATTTTTGTAAAATTCCAAGGGATATCAAGAGAATAGCATCGATTACATTGAAATCCGACCATTCGTCTTCACCAATCTTGCCAAACATGTAAAAAGTATCTGCTTTTGTATGCGCTGTACGTTTAACAAACTTTCTTGCAATTTTATCAGATAACTTTTTTATCGTTGTCTAATAAAGAAGCGCGATGTATAAATCAAAATATTTACTTATTTTCATTATTTTATTGACAGTAAGTGATTTGTTAAATATTCTTTTCCTTTAAATTGCTGATTTTTTAACATAAAGTCCAAATTAACTTTAAAACCTGACGTGATGGAGCGATTTGGTCAGCGGTATTGTTTTTGTGAGCGAAAACTCACCTATTATGATTTAGAGTTATTTGAGAAAGATATTTTTGTTGGTTTATATTATTCATTAACTTTCTGAAAGTGACAACGTAGGCGAGATAGATTGGACGAATATTTGCGGCGATAGTGGAGCATAAATCACTTTACGCTGTGAAACTTTCGTTCCTGTCTCACGTGGAGGCCTCTCACTAATCGCCGTGTCAGACGCGTTAATTGCAATTACCGTCGATGCATGCATTGCAGGTACACCGGTAGAAAGCGCCGCGCAGTGATAATGGCGACCGCCTTGAGCCGCAACAGAGAGATATGGTGATTTACTCTTTCATGAAAGTATCTCATCTCTAGATTTCTTTCTGAATATATAACAAATTGTTCCGACGGTACGCGCGGTGAAGCGTCATTATAAAAATCGCGCGCAATCACTCGGACGAGGAAAGCGCGTTCATCACGCACTGTTGTGTTCCAGCAATGAGTACCACGGATCCCACCGGGGAGGGTGGAGGAGGAGGAGGTGAAGGAGGAGGCGAAGGTGCTTCGACAACGACGACGACGACGAACGTCGAACAAACGGCATCCCCGAGCACGCCGATTACCGGCACCGCGGTGCCAGCGCAGCCGGCCACTCAGCAGCAACAACAACACCCGCCGCCGTCGCCCCTGAGTGGCTGTTACCTTCTCGTGGTGCTTCCTGAGCCTCATACCGCACAACACAAGGACCTTATCCTAAACCGCCTCGCGAAAGGTAAGTGCGCGTCCGAGAAAGGGAGAGAAGACGTCCGTTCGTTTTTCGCCTTGGCTGTATATATGAGAGAAAAAACAAGAAGTGAAACATATTTGTCCGATGGACGCTGATGCCATATTTACGTCAATGTACGTATTTTTGCGCTGAGAAAACATATTTTTCGGATAAGAAAACATGGATTTTCTTGAAACCTTTCACTTTTCGTGAAAGCAACTGTTAAATGAAAAGAATTATTTCTATTTCTATAATTATTTCTATTTGAATATAAAAATTGTTATTATTCTATTTTAATTGTTGATCCATCCATCTGTATTATATTCAAATTCTATTCAAAATTATCATTATTCTCTCTCTCTATATATGTTCTATTCTTAAATATAAAATATTATTCTGTTTAACTCTATTTAAATATATTTCTATTGAATTTGATGTACGAAAGAAGAATAAATTTAAGAGAATTTAGACTCGGAAGTAGAGGTGCTATTACACACACCGAATAAATCATTAGTTACTTCTTAGAAATTTTTTCTCTCAGTGTACACATCTCGCCGAGCTGTATAATCGGGTCAGCTATAGATTCACCGCGTCTATACGTCGTCTCACGAACGCACAGCAATCAGCGTTTTCTATTATTATCATTTACTACTCTTAATAGAAAATATAGTCACGAGCCGGGTGTGTGGGGATATAATGGCAAAGCCCCCTCCTCTCTCTTACCTTCTCATGTGTGCGCGGAGGGCATGAACTTTCCGCGAGCGCACGTTTAATTGGCTCGTCAGTCCAGTACGTTATCAGTTCAACGGCACGCATTATGTATGCGTACGATTAAAATCTGATAACCGCGTTATTATTGTTATTATTGTCATTATAGTATCCGCGCGCGGAAAGTCGTAATTTGCATTTAATCGCGGCCAACGACGTATCGGACACGACAGCCTATTACCGATATGAGCGGCATGCAGCTTCGGCTGGCTCGCGCTCTTTCGCGGTCTCGCGCACCAGGTCGCGCGCCCGTTTTCCTGGGACTTTCCGTTTTGGCGGTCGCCCCGTGATTAAGATTGCGCGTATCCGTCGCCGCGACTTCCTGGACGCGCGTATGTTTGTGCACGGGTGTTGGATGTGTGTATGGATGAGTGCATATACGCGGCGACGGCGGCGGCGGCGGCGACGGCTCTAACGGTGCTTGTCCTCCTCCGCTCATATTCCTTCCGAGTTATCGGACAAGCTGAGCACTCGACGGCTCCGTGTTGCTAGGCGGACCGTAAAGCGGGCTCCTCTTTCTCGCTTCGTCTCGGGAGGAAATCGACGTCGCGCGCCGCTCGTTTATTCCTAATCGTCTGCCATTAGACGCTCGATATCGAGCCGCGGCGGGCGTTAATTCCTCGCACTCGCTCGTTCATACGTTCCTCTCCCCTCGCCTCCCCTTCCTCCCCGTAGAGTGAAGTGCATTGGGCGCAGCCGGCGCCGGCAAAGCGAGCAAAACGACCGACACGCTTCTTAATCGCGCGAGAAAGGAGTACGCGAACGAACAAACGAACGAACGTCGCTGTGATACTAATTGGCTTTACGGCGAGGAGCCGCGCGATACCAGCCAGGGAGTGTTCGTTTGCGCGGCGGATCGCCGTAAACCTGCGAGAGCCGCGCGTGTATCGAGCGCGATCGATACCGTGGAACTTTATCGCGGCCAGCAGTTCCGTTGGATTTTTTGTTATTATGCTCTTTATGCAATTCTTTGCGAGCATACTTTGAGAAAAAAATCGACTGATTAGAATCAACTCTTAGGATTATGGGTGACCGGAACTATATGACACCAGAAATATATTATGTGTTTTTTTTAGTATTTATCTTGAAGGGAACAGTGGATATAAAATTGCGAAATCTTTTTAGAACATAAATACTTCTCTCTGAATATTTTGTTAAAAATGGAATAATATTACAGTTAAGAAATAGAAAAACTGATTTGGTAATAGTAAATTTTCGAAATTTTCTTCTTGAAATTTTGTATTAATATTGTCTATTGTGACTGAATAAAATTATGTGATACTAGCTGGAATGAAATTTCTTGCAAGTGTATACCGTTTCTGGCAATAAGTGCAATTTTCATTTATAAAATGACTGAAATAGAGCATATAAGCGGGCGAAGTAAAGTTATAATTAAAGGCCGACAGGAGGGCTGTGGAGACCTCTCGCGAAGACTGTGAATCTATTAATTAGAATAAATATTTTATATGTGGTCTTCTTACTCTACACTACTGGGCAACTGAACCAGTACCAAGGCAAGATGGCTATGTTCCTGCTATATTCGTATTTTGGTTATTACAAAGCAAAATATACGGTTAACAGAGCCATCAATACATAGAAGAAAGTTGTCTCTATTATGTTTGTAATAGTTAATCACAATAATTATTGCCTGAGAAGTTGTAACTTTGAAATTTTTAAATATAGAACATTTAGTCTCGGGCTCTGCTACGTGAATTTTATTGCGCAACTCGCAATTGAGTCAAGTCGAATAAAAACTGAATCGTACTTCAATAATTGGACATGGAATTTCGAAATATACGGAGAAGAAAAAATATATTATAGTAAAAATTATGAAATTTTACAACTGAGTAATTGACCGATATTTTGCAGTAACTGACTTTCATTTTATATATGTTATTTATATTTTAACTGTAATGTAATATGCTAACAGTAACTGTAATGTGCTAACAGTAACTGTAATATGCTATTGTGTATTAAAGATCTGCTTCTAGTAAGATCTGTTTTTAGCAAAATTTACCATGTTGCTTTGCAAGATAGAACTTATTGTTCTATCTAGTCCTGCACTATTAGAGATATAGCGAGATTGAAAAGAAAAAATTTATATGAAAAAAATTCTAATTTTTTTTTCTCTATTTACAAGATTTATTATAACAGTGAAGGATTCCTGAAACTGATACATGGTTGATACAGACGTCCTTTAACTTTAACCAAAAGTTGATTTAATTGCGTAAAAGAAATAATTTCAGCTCCAATGAAAGGTCAGACGATTAATAAAACCAATAATGTATTGGGTTAACTATAATTGTCTCATTGAATTAAAATTTAAACTCGTTTTATATATCAGAGATTTTAAAAGGACTCGTGTAATTTTAGTTGAGTTCCAATGTTTTAATAATTTTAATTGAATTGAACTTTAATTTTTGTCAAAAAGACCCAAATTCTGCTGAAAAGCGATTGGAACTAGAATTAGGATCGTTGTTGGTTATTTCACTTGCGTCATTATTTTCTCAGAAATAATATGACGCGTGTCTTTTGGGACGTTCAGTTGTAATCGTTATTACAGTCACGAAATTGTCCTTACAATCGCCGTGTGCGAATATGCGTTTGGATTTCATAATTAGATACACGACGACATGGCTCACATATTCAATTAGAGACATTAAAAAAGATATGAAAGGAAGTATATTCTCCTTACGCCGTGTTCTCGTGATAAGAAGAAGGAGTACGCGTGGGGATGTTTTGAGACAAAATTTTCATAGCTAAGAGAACATAATGTCGAATTAATTAAGGGATCCAATTGAAATTGAGTTTACCCGTTCGCCGGGGCACCTTATGCGAACCGACGTGTTCTCGCGCTCAGACGTAATACGTTATCGCTGTCGGGATAGCGGAATTCTGTAATATGTTTAACTTCTCCGGTGCGGACGTATTAAAATTAATACCCTGACACATACGACGACGTTAATAGAAGAGAGAGAAAGAGAGAGAGAGAGAAGGGGAAAAGAGGGGGAAGTCGACGCGCAGAGCCCGTACGTATCGTTCGGGTTTTCCGCATTGCGCCAGCGATGATTTTTAACGGCGGCTCGTCGTCGGCTTCTCGCCTCTCTCTCCCTCTCTTTCTCTCTCAGTTATGTGACGATTTTTCAATGATCCACGCGCGCGCAAATTGTAAAGACCGCCTCGCCGCGGTCGTTTGCATTTGCGACGATGATTTCGCGAAATGCCATCTGATAACGGCGCCATTGCGCCGCTGGAATTGACGTTAATAGCGCGCCATGTTAAGGAGCGCGCATAGAATTTAACCTACTGCGATTAAATATATATTACCTAAGTCCACGTTAAAATGCATAATTTGTACGCGGAACTCGCGTACAAATCTGCAATTTTACCTCCTTTATTACTATGCGAATTACTCTTACCATAAGTACCACACTATTACCACTACTACAAGTAAACCTTATTCTTTCTCGAATTACTCGTACTATAAGTACTACACTATTTTTTACTATTAATACTACAAATAGGCTTTATTCTTTCTCAAATGTACAAGCGCGACAGATGCACCAAAAGTGTGCGTATTCTCTGGATTTTTTGGAGCAAAATCTCATCCAAAGCGCGTGAAAATTCGCTGAAAGCGACAGTGATAACACTACTACTTGGAATCATAGAAGAATGAATGTTTCATTTATCCACTCGTCGACTCAGATTGGAAGAAAATCACTGCGCGAGTGAACATTCACTCAACTTCGAATCACTCGGCTATCACTTGATCTTTGACTCCGCTATATTTGACCTTTTTTTAAGTCCCACTATATATAATTATGTACGCTTCCCAAGTTTTTTTATATTAGTAAAGTAATGATTCTATCGATATTCAATATCACCGATTCGTTTTAGATATAGAGCTATAACCTCTCTCCTGACCCGTGATTTTCCCGTTGAAAAGACTAATATGGCGCTCGTGTGCAAAGCAGGATCGTTGACGTACGAAATTGCGTAAAGTTTTGCACGAAAAAAAGTAAACAAATTTTATTTCCTCAAATTTTTATCGATCTCGTCTTAAATTATAAGACTAGCTTTTATATTTATTATAATGATTATAAGATTGATTTTCATTTTTGTAGCCGGGACAGACGTACAAATATAAATATACACGTTATAGGAATTATATATACATTCAGAAAATTCCTTAGAAATGTCTTTTAAGATGATCTTATAAAGAAGAAAATTTCATTTGG